AATTTCCCTCTGGATAAATAAAGTGTCTATCTATCTATCTATCTATCTATCTATCTATATATCTATCTATCTATCTAATTTACTGGCAGTAAGTGATTATTGTCATAGAAACATGATATGAAATAAACCACAAACATACAAATAAAATAGGGCTAGCCATTTATTAACAAAACTATAATGGCCGTTCAAGACAGAATTATTTATGTAAAGTTGGTTCAATTTCACAAAACATAAGAAAGCAATACTCCCTATTCCACTGGAATTATTATTATTATTATTATTATAATGTAGTTGTATTTTAATTTTATTTTTCTGATAAGTAGTTCATTTTGTTTTATTCACAGTATATTTCTTTATTTACAGGAATGTTTTTTTCCTGTTTGCGTGTCTGTGTTAATTATTATTTACTTCTTTTTATTTTACTATTCATTTCCCATACCATCATTGAATTGTGGATTTGAAATGTTCCACATCCATTATTTTATTAAAAACATTCAACATCTAACCACATGTTCTTCTTAAATATGCAAGTGTAAATATATGTTTTTAAATGTAAATGAACGTTTTAGTCTTTTGTTAATAAATGCAATAAATTGATTTCAGTCTTTTGTTTGACTTACTTGACTGATATATTTGTTATTTGTTCATTCATTTATTTTATTATTACTTTCTAAGAAGATCCGCCATAAAGTTATAACAAAACAAAAAGAGAAAGAAAGACAATTAATAATATTTTTTGCTGACTGACTTCCTTAGACAAACATCTCAGAATATGTATAATAATAATAAAATAATATGTAATAATCTAACTGCTGACATGAATTTAAGAGACTCAAAATAGTTCATTTTAAGTTAAAAATAACTTGTTGGGGTTGAGTTAAGAATGAATATAAAATGTTCCTAATGAAATAAAAAGGTAAACAATAAAAGTTGTCCTTACATTCAAAGTAAAACATATTCTCCTCCTCTTTAATCGAGACTTGTTGTGCGTAAAACATAATTATATTACGATACAATCAAATGTTTCCAGAATGTAAAGCAATATTGGAAACAGCTGAACAGATCAATAATCCTAAATGTTGTTTAGTTTTATTAAATAACTTGTTGTTGTTGTTGTTGTTGTTGTTGTTGTTGTTGTTGTTTCTGCTCAGTCACAGTCAATGTGCAGGTACACTCCCATCCAGCAGGAGGCGACCTCAGCTCTTTGACGAAGAAGGACACCGCGCTGTGATTGGTTGCTGGATGCTATAAAAGCAACATGGCACGGAGTTAGAAGTTGTTTTGGGAGAGATCATGGTGAGTATAGGTGCGATATTGTCTCTAATAACAAACTGTTGGTGTTTTTCGCTTCGTGCACTCTGTTTTATTAACGGTATATGTAAAGCTGCGTTCAGGCTCCTCCAGAAGAGACGATGTGACGAGCTGCTTTGTTTCTTTTGTCTCCACCAACTCCAGAGGCGGATGTGTGGCTCTCTGGTCGCTGAATGCTTCATTGTCCACAGCCGGTGTCTGCACCGACAGTGTGGATGAGCTGTGGCCGAGCAGAGACCTCGTGGGTCGGTACAGGTGAGGCAAACCGAGAGGCTGTGTGGCGGGAATGTTTGTGAAGATGGCGGGAGCGGTAGCATGCGGTCTGACTCACTTTAGAAGGGTTTTTACCTCCAGTCAGTTTCTGCACTTCAGCACAATATTTAGACCCAATCTGCAAAGTTAAATGCATTCATATTAAGATTTTACAGAGGTTATCACTCAATATAAATCACGTTGTTCCTCTTGCAAAATGGAAATGTAGTAGCTTTCTCTGTTTCTACTTTTCATGTAAGTTGTGGACTAAAATCTGTTAACATGGACTGATACTATCTCAGTACCTGTAACTGAAACATCTCTGACTGTGAATGAGAACTGAGTTGCTGAAATTGTCTTTTACCCTAAAGTCATATTTATAAAGGCAGATAATTCCTGACAAACGTTTATGCTGAATAGAAAACGTTTTATTGGTCAGTCTTCAAAAAGACAAGCTTAAAGATTTCTCCTTACACATATTATAAACAAAATTTAACAGACTACTTAAGTAGTAAAGTACTTTTTTTTGTTTTTAAACTTAAATTTCTTAATGCGCTTTGTGTTCTTTGCTCTTTTGTCTGGAGGTATATTTAAGGATTTTATTCTCCTTCATAACACGATTGCAGAATGAAATTTAGGTGCTCTTTATGTTATCTCCCCAGAAAATGGAATGTTGTTTTTCATACTGAATTCAACAGCTTCAGTGTCTTTAAGTCATTTTTATTTTCACAATCGCCTCACCTGCCAGAAGG